GGTTAAATATCTCTGCAGTGGACTAGGAAAAATTGCTGTCACGGGGACGTTTGTTTCTCCTGCGAGGCCTAAAAAAAAAAAAAAAATTACACAACTATGGATGACTAGGTTGCAGTTAAAAAAACCCCTCGAATCCTTCAAAGAACGATCATAGTTTGGATATCCTGTTGCTTGAATGTTGCCCTGATGCCTTATTGTGTGTGTATCTTATTCTGCTGCTGCGATTTCTGTGCAATTGTAAAGTTTGCAGGATTGGAGTCATCTTTGCTGGTCTGTTTATGTAGCTGTATTATAATGGCTTACTGCTTATGATTATGACCAGCGGTGGTGGGTACGACAAGTTTTGAAAGCAAGTATTTTTAAAATAGTATATTCTGAAAACTCTCAAGCCTTAAGAAGTAGATTAAATCCAGAGAAATATGAATTTTGTATCGTGCCACATAGAAACGAGTATTCTGCATTTGAAAATTTTGGTAACTTAGAAAATAAAGTCAAAAAGAGGAGGAGGTGGAACTTGCAGGGGCTAAGGTACGTTAACTGCATACACCTGGAGGATAAAACAGTGTTGCTAGCTAACGTATATAGTATGTTTGGCAGTGTATGTGGTGCGAGAGGTGTTTTTTCTTCCTAGACAGCAGTGCTTCATGTTGCAGTGCACAGCTGGCATTCCAGAATAATTTGTTAGCTAAAGCTGCTTGTTTACAGGTAATGAAATATTGGCTATCTGTTATATGCCTGATAAAAAATCCATACTTCCATCTGAAGACATACGGTTGTCTAGAGGCAGAGAACATGATTCTTTGCCCTCTGCAATGCTTGTGTGAAAGATTGAAGACTATTGTGAGAAAGATGGTGGTAGCACTTGTGTAAAAATTCTCATTAGCTACCATTGGGATTTAGGGTTGAAATTAAAAGACAGCAGTTAAAATCTGCAAAATCTTAGATGATTTGAGAAACTCTTACTTTAGCATTTGACCACTGCTCAGCTAAATCAGTTTATATTGTAGTGTAAATTTTAAGTGCAAGTAAAATGAACATTTTTTTGTTCGTGACTTTTGTCTTTATGCGTATGGCCCACACCAGGAAAGTCGCACAGGAACTAATAGTTCTCTGTATAGTAGTAGTACTGCCATGCTGCATTTTACACAAGAATTCCTCATCCTTAGTTTTCAACCTCATCTCTTTTTCTCTGAGTAGCCAGCATGGATTTACTTTTAGGGCTTGCTGCAAAGGTCATGGCTGAGCCAGTAACTAAGAGAGAATTTATATGCCTCAAAGATCCAGCTAATGGCATGGATTTCTTTTTCCAGGGGAAATTGGTGTCTCTCAAGAGCTGTAGCCTTTTGTAGAGGCCCATTTGGTTTGCCTACCATTATCTGGTAAAAGAGGCATTTGAAATCTATGGGTTTTGTGATAATGAAATGGTTTTGGTTTTTAAGAAAACAAGTCTCTGCTTGATTGTTCAGACTGTACAGCAGGACATAAATGCCTTAAAATAACTTTTTACATTCTTTCAGGATTCATTAGGGGTTTTTTTTTAGGTACATATGCCTTCTGATAGTCCGTAGTGAATTTGTAGATTTCCTCAGTGAGATTTCCAGCTTGGTTTTATGCTTTGAAAAGTAAAATTTGGTTATTTTTGCCTGTTTCCAGTCCCCCTGCATTTTTTAAAATGCAGCTTCAAGGGTGTTGAAGACATTCCAGAGTAGAGGAGAGGGACCTTCTTTCTTTCTTTCAATCAGTTGTTTGGAATATGGGGCCAGTAACACTGTTGTTATTATATGTTACGTTCTTTCATATTCTTTCCTGTTCTCCCTCATACCTCAAAATATGTCTTAGAATTTGGAATGCCCCCAGCTTCGCCTGCTTAGAATGGCAGGGTCCATGGGACAGGGTTTTGAAATGCGAGGCACTATTTTAAGTAAAGGAGTGTGGACAACTTAAAGGAAATAAAATTTATGAATTTAGTGTGCATGTATCTTTTGAAGTTACCCTCTAGAGGAAGATATGAAAGAAATTGATTCCTAGGTATTCTAAATAGTATTCTAAATAGTATAAAAGATGGACAAGGGGCAGGGGGATGGATCAGAATAAGTATTCGTTTTGTTACTCAGTCCACGAGGTCAAATAGGTATGAGTCACAAAGGCATTGCAGTTGCTGTGTTTTCATGATTTTTGCAGTACATATTTATTTTTCTTAAGAATTACTTTTGGGTTGTAAACTAACTAAAATAATTTCCAGGGCTTTCCTTATGGTAGAGGATTTTGTGATTCCAAGTAAACTGGAATTTTGCAGTTTAAAATACTTTTAACAACTCTAGACTTTCTTTTTCACTTACAAATAGTGACTTCTCATTATACTGCTTGTTACTACTTTGTAGTTATTGATTCTTCTCATAATACTGGTTCTTGCTGCTTCTTGAATGTAATGTTTTCCTTAAAGGAAATTAAGCTTTTTTGTGGTTAGAGTTATTTTAGAAATTTTGACGCAGGGTTTAAGTGGGGACAAAAGTCTCTGCTTGGCAACAAGCACTGGATTGCTTGGAAGAATGATTTGTATTTTTGTCCCCCTCTCATCAGTTTTGCTGGACTCAAATATTTAAATTTCATTATTTTCATGCGAAATCTCTTATCTTGAAGGAGAAGCAGAGTTCAGTCTAAGGATCTTGGCTGTCTTAGGTGATAAGGACTTCTTGGGAAGAGCAACTATCCTAAGAAATGACCTGCTAGGTTGAGACTGTGGTCCGACAAATAACAGTTTAATACTCTGTTGAGCAGAACCTGATACTGATAATACAAGTCTTGATCCTCCAGTGCAGTTTTTGCCCTAATCAAATGCAGAAGTCTGCAGCTTTCTATAAAGAGATTTGTCTTTCAGTATCCTTAGACAGCAATTTGTGTCTGTTTTGGATTGGAAAAGTTTTAAAAAAAAAAAAAACCAAACAAACCAAAACCCCAAAACAATCTTGTCTGTTGCTGATCACCCATCAGATAATATTGTCTTTAGTTCACACTTTACCTGTTCTTGGCTACTGTGGGATTGGGGAGAACAGGTAGTGAATATAGGGATAAGCAGGAAAGGTCCAGGGTTCTGTGGTTCAAAATCAAGTTTTTTGTTTGTTTGGAGTGAGGACATCAGTATTAGATCAGACGATAATGCCTCTTTGTGTTGTTGATCTGTCCTTTCACATTTCTGGATTGATGTGCACCATAACTCATTTAAAGTCTGCCAAAATAATATATTCATAGAATGTGAAAACCTTAGATTATAGACTGAAGAGTTCCCAGTTGCTGCTACTGCACGGTGACCAAAGTAGCAGTCGGGGATCTGTCCACCTATTATGCCAGTTACAAAGGAGTCATATGAGACAGATATATGTACAGCCTTATTTTAATTTGTGTCTTCTGGTTGTTCACCTTGAGTTGTGCTTATTGTCCCTAGAGTGAGCTTCAGATGGTTTGTTTTCTTAAGGTGCGATGTGAAATGCCTAATAAGTATTGACCGTGGTGTTCACTCAGAACAACTCACTGTACCAGCAACACCACCTTAATACTCACGTGTGCATGCACACAAAAATACATTAACCTAAAAAAAATGCATAGTCTTGCTTGAACTCATAGATAATTCCATGCACCATCAGTTCCTTGCAAAGTGAAGAGTCATACCCATTTTGAGGTGTGGGATTTTAGCCTGTCTTTGTTAGCTTTGGTTAGCCTGACTTTGTAGACAGAAGGCTATAAAGCACTGAAGTAGCTCCTTAATCTCAGGAACGAGATTTTATGGTTATAATAGTTAGGTGAATACATTAGCTCAGTACTCTAGTAGTCAGAGAAAAGCATATGGGGAAGAAATGAGTAACCAGAAAAAAAATTATAATTGTGCATCTCTGTTTTAATTGCTTTGTGTGACTCTCAAAAAGGGCATTATGGAACTGTAAAAGGTACAGATAAGTAGGGAATAACTACGGGTAATTTAAGAAGTTACTTCTGTACAAAGAAGGTACAAGGTGTTTTGAACTCTGAAAACAGTTAAGGGAAAGTGGGATAGGGTAGAAGTCTGAAATTCTTAACATTATGGACAAAGTGAGTACAAAATGAGTGTTTACTGTTTCTTTACAAACAAAAACCAGTGGACCTCAAGTTAAGCTTTTAAGAGTGGGAATCGGAACAAACAGCAGGTGATGTACTTCATGTGATCCTAAACCATTAGGTAATGCAGAAAAGAGAAAGCCAAATTCTGAAAGTAAAGAGACTCAGCGATATGTCTAAAAAGTGTCACATGTTTCCTTTTGCCAATTCCTGTTTTCCTGCGGTTCCTAAGATGCTTGGCTGTGAGAGTATGCATTTTCTTGACTCTGTTTCTTTAGAAGAGTGCCGGTGTTTCCCTACATACGTTTAAACTTTGGCAATGAACAGGTAAGCCATTTTTTCATTTTCTGGATTCCTAAAACAAGAATTTAATTAGATTTTTTAAAAGTTTTTTGAGAGGACAAATTCTTTATTCTAGATAAAGTGCCTGCCAACCCAGTCATGAGGTGTCAGAATACATCTGGAGTACATTGAGATTTAGGGAAGTTTTAGTCTCTGTTTCTAAGGCATAAGAGGAGGTGATCTGAATTCCTAGCATTTCTTAGTTTGGCAGGGATGCATGTCACACCTGTAAACATTTATTCTGAGCACTTCCGCCAGAAACTGGAAGGGGAAAGACACCACTAAGAAGATGCACTGGTGGGTTTTTTGAAGAGGATAGCAGCAGTTTTGGCTTCCTGCGGAGCAGTGTCTAATAGTTGTCTCTTAAACTGCTAGTCTGTTGGAGAGAATCTGTAAGACTTCAGAAGAATGTTTAACTAATTATGGCTGAAAGTACTTGATAATATCTGGATGTTTGCTGTTGAGAAGTAGTTTGTAAAAAATTTTTTTCTTTCAGTCTTGACAAAGGAAATGCATCCTAAAAAATATTTTGACCAATGTTTTAAATTCTCCTGTTTTTAGGAACTGATATCGCTGCCGGAGAGGAGGTTGCAATTAAGTTGGAATGTGTGAAAACCAAGCATCCTCAGCTCCACATCGAGAGTAAAATCTACAAAATGATGCAGGGCGGAGGCAAGCAAATAATTTCCCTTCTTCTGAGATTTAACTGGTCTTATGTCTTTTATGTATCTGCCACCTGGAGGTATTTAAATGGTTAAGATCTCTTTTGACATATAAGGAGACAGTGGGGTAGGTGGCAGGGTAGGTGAAGAGCAGTATGTCAGCTCTTCTGTGAGGAATATAGAGTAGCAGTTCCAAATCCGTGGCTACCAAACTTCATGGTAACCACTAATATCCTCAAGTGTTGATCAGTGTCCTAGAATATTAAAATATTAAAACCTCAAGCAATGTGGAACAAATTTTGGTCCCACCAGGCGTGCACTGTTTGACTTTTGTTTCTCGTGGGTCAGTGAAAGATGGTAACCACTGTTCTGGAGCGTTTAACCTGACTTGCTTCTTGCAGTAGGACAATTCTTAACTTAACAAATCCAGGTTAATTTTTCTTATGTATGTTAGTATTCTTTCTTCTGAGTTAAAAATATTTCCTTGCTGGGGGAATTCTAAGAGAAAATGGCATTAGTAGTAGAAAACAGGAGTGCAGCAACTTTGTAGCTACTGTGTGGTACTCTGCTAAGATAACTCACTCTCCTGTTTTGGAATTCTACAAATGTAAGATTCCCATGCAGTGCTGGGACATAAACTCAGTGTGGTTAAGTTTTGCTTTTGTTTCATAGTCCCTTGAATTCTTCCCAAATGAGGCTGCACTTAACATAAAGGCTATAGTCCACACTGTATCTCAAATGCAACATACAGTAATTGTACATCTAGAAATGGATGATAATGTGTATTTGCATTTAGTTTCTTTTTAATTCCTGCCTTATTTAGTTGCTGCATGCTTGTAACCTGAATAGCCTTCACAGAGTAAAATGCTTCCTTTGTGGGCTTACTAAGGGCATGATGGTAGGTTCCTTCTGAGGATGGATGCTGCGGATACAGGTGCAGAAGTTTTAAGTTTCCGTCCACATAAGGGTTTCTCTGTAAAGGGAATTCAGGAAAAAAAATAATGCCTATCAAATAAAGGTAAGAGTTTAAAATGGGTGAATTATACCGTTTCACTTCCAAGATGGATAAAATTAAAGTAAAGGCATTTGAAATTCTGAACAAGGATACCTACATACAGGTTTAATTCAAAATCTTTGAGCAATTCTACCATTTTGTGTGAAATAACTTTCCTGAGTTTCTCCAAAAGGTGGGGCTAATATTAGCTCTCTTGAGCTGAACGTATAACGTGTCTCATAAAGAATACTGCGTTGGTAGAGATTGACCAAACAGCAAAGACAGCGGAACTGGAGGAAAAACGAGTATGAAGCAAGGGCAAAAATTCATTGCAAATTGAAATGGAAGAGAGAGGTGTTTTATGGTGATCCTGAAGGCTTTGAAACTAATAAGTTAATTTCTGAGGCCTTCCTCAGTAATAATATTTAATGGTTTGTCAGTGTCTTTATAGTTAGACTTCCAATTTGCTACTTATTGCCTTCTTGGAGACCACATGAGTATTAATACTTGTAAAATGCTTAAGGTTCAAATCCATCAGGTTACAAGCTAAGCGCAAAGACTGGGAGGTTTCTGAGGAAGAGGAAAAAGGCTATTTTTGGACATCTGTTGCTATAATTTTATACTGGTTCTGCTGTGAAATTGTCAAACTTTTCATTTTGGAGTGGCTGAAGGTAGCATAAAATATTTAGCTTCACTAGAAATACAACCATTCACAATAATGACCCTCCTAGAATTCATCTTAAGATTAATTAAATTGTTATACTGAATAAATGGTTTCCTTTTTTCTAGTGGGTATTCCCACAATTAAGTGGTGCGGAGCTGAAGGGGACTACAACGTAATGGTGATGGAGCTGTTGGGACCGAGTCTTGAAGATCTCTTCAATTTTTGTTCAAGGAAATTCAGTCTCAAGACAGTCCTATTACTTGCTGACCAAATGGTAGGAAACTGCTCTGTTGATCTTGATAGTGCAGTATGCTGGGATATGAGAGAACATAATGAACTATATTTTATTTCTGTAATTTAGAGGTGAACAGGCTGTATTGTTAGAGAAAAGACTGAAAAATAGGTTCGTTTCTGTAAATATAAAGTGTCCCATCAGAAGCGATTACAAAGTCTTAATTTGATTTTTAAGAACTGGACCTGCGCTGTTTGGAAACCAGGTGTTGCACTGCTCAAGGCAAAGAAATTCCTCTAAGAAAGTTTTTGGAAACAAATGTGAAATTTTTTTTAGCTGGAGAGAAGGTTTATCCATTGTCTTCTAAATTATGTTCTCTTTAATGCCCTTACATTTTACAATAAAAAGTTTCTTTACGTCTTTTATCAGTAGCATTTTTATAAGGAAAACGTGTACGCCCAGTCTCTTGATGATGATTTTTTTTTTTCTCTGTATTTAGATTAGTCGAATTGAATATATTCACTCTAAGAACTTCATCCACCGAGATGTGAAGCCAGATAACTTCTTAATGGGCCTGGGGAAGAAAGGCAATCTTGTCTACATAATAGACTTTGGATTAGCAAAGAAGTATCGAGATGCTCGAACTCACCAACATATTCCATATCGTGAAAATAAAAACTTAACAGGAACTGCCCGTTATGCATCCATCAACACTCATCTTGGAATTGGTGAGCTGGGGAAGGCAATAAATAGAAACTTTAAATTTAGTGTCGATGCACATAATTTTAGTGCAAGTAGGTGTTGTTTTATGGAGGCGTAGAAGACAGTCCCTATTTCTGGCACTAGCTGTGCAGCATACTTGGCCTTGTATCTCTTGATTGGGTGGGATTTGGTCAGTTTGTAATTCTCAGGAATTAGCACATTTTTTAATAACTGCAAAGGTAACAGGCTTTTTCTTGTACTGGATGAGTTTATCGTGGGTATAGTAAATCACAGCTATCTCTTGGTTTTTCTAAAGGTTTTTATGACAGTGTTGTTGCACGATCTTTTGTTTTTACAGTAGAAAATGAAACCTAATGAGTCCACTTTTTTATACTGTTGTAGAGCAATCTCGCAGAGATGACTTGGAGTCCTTGGGCTATGTACTGATGTATTTTAACCTGGGCTCCCTCCCCTGGCAGGGACTGAAAGCAGCAACAAAGAGGCAGAAATACGAACGTATCAGTGAAAAGAAAATGTCTACACCCATTGAGGTTTTGTGTAAAGGATATCCTTGTAAGTTACTCTTTTGTGGCACTAGACTGACATGTTCATGTTTTAGTGGCATTTCTTTTTTCCTTGCACTGAATTCTTATCAGTCTTTTTTACTTCTCTCTCTCTCTTTTTTTTTTTTTTTTTTAAACTTCTCCCCATCCCCCCCATGATTGGGCGTGTCTGTAATAAAGATACTGTGCTTTCAAGACTGGGATCTTTGTGTTTGTAGACCATTTCTAATTATCCCTTGTCTTAACTATTAGTGAACAATTATTGTGATACCCTCAAGTCAAAGGGTAGCTTGATATGTCGTAATTTGCACTGTATGGTGTGTGCATGCATCTATGCTGGCTGGATGACTGTAACAGACAAATACCTTTTTGAGAAACTACTCATTTCTTCATGTGTCTGGGTACTGGTTGTTGGATGAATCAGATTGTATAGTCAGATGTGCCTCTTATTTATTGCAGTTGCACTTCAGCATCAGTGACAGGCATAAGAAACCCTCCTGTATCCTAGCATGATTCCTCAAAGTGGTTCGGTTTCTCAATTTGGTATTTACACCACAGTAATAAGTAGGCATTTTGGAGCCCTGCAGAATGATATTTAAATCTGTTTTAAAACTTGTTAAAATTAGCTGCCGTCAGAGAATATTTTTGATCTTTCATGAAGAGTTCTCCGTCTATGCTTTCCACACTGTTGGCTTTGGCAGCTAGGTACGATAAGGAGAACTATAGTTTTTGTTAGGGTTGTCTTCGATCTGTGTCAAATGTTGTTTCATATGTGTTCCTTTATGTTCATTACCTATGTTTTTTCTCTGGGGTTAACAGGCAGGGAAGACTAATCAACTTTTCTTGCACTGTTTGTTAGAATTTCTTCCTTAACTTAAATTATTAATATATTATTTCAGCCAGAAAGACTTGAACTCAAAAGCTGGTGTTTTCATACTGCACTTATCTCTGACTCATTGAATTCACAGCAATAATAATTTTTTTCTGTGTAACTACTATTTTGTGTGCCATATAAAAACAGGTGTTCAGAGTATTGCAAATCTAAAGTTGTAGCATGACTTATATGCGAAATTTATACGGGTCTCCTAGTTTTTGTGTGTTTCGTGAGGTAGCAGACATGAATATTTGTGTGACTTAACAGAGATGCTGTTCTGTGTCCTGCAAGAAATTGTGTTTAAATATATTCAAAGCAAAGAAAGGCAAGAAAAATCTCTTTTCTTTGCTCAACAATAGTTTTAAACCTGTTCTACCCCTCCCCTCCCACAGCTGCTGATTAAAGAACCCTAGTATTGCATCCACTCTGCTGTTGGCAAATGGGATCTTTGCCTACTCTGTGACAGACAATTTCCTTTTCAGGGTTGACTTGATACACGGGCTATAGTGTTGCCTTTGTAGATTTCTAGTATTAGGTCATTATGCTTTTTCTTATGTTTATGACATTCGCTCTTTGTTGGGTTTGAGGTGGTTGGGGGTTTTTCTTGTGATTGAGAGTTATAAAAAGCAAATGTGAAGCTGAAGGAAAAAAACAGGCTTTCTTTTATTACAGCTGAATTTGCTACATACTTGAATTTCTGCCGTTCTTTGCGTTTTGATGACAAACCGGACTATTCCTACCTAAGGCAATTATTCAGGAACCTTTTCCACCGACAAGGGTTCTCCTATGACTATGTGTTTGACTGGAACATGCTGAAATTTGTAAGTAGCTGACACCGTTTTCTAAAACTTTTTTTATTTTCCCCCTGTAATGGTATATTTTTTACTACATTGTCAGTTTTGAGTATCTTAACTGATACTGTAAGATTGTCCTCCCTCTTTCCTTCTGGAAGCTCTGTTGTCTAGAAAAAAAGATCAGGAAATGAGGCAGGAGATACAGGAGCCATGAGATGGGGGCCGAATGACAACTAGGTTGAAGTTACAGGGTTTTAAGTGTGTCAGGCTTCTGAGATAACTTCCTTCAGGGCAGTCACCAGGTTAGGTTGCAGAATTATTATTGTCTCCCACCTTGATCAGCACAGGTCTTCTGCAGCTGTTGAGGAGGTGTCTAGCTGCCATAACAGTATGTGTATACCTTAGCGTTTTGAAGACTATCTCAACAGGTTTATGAACAAAATTTATGGCACTTCTCAAGAGATTTTACGAAAATAGTTAATGCTCGAGCAAACTTCACTTCATGGGTTGTCCAGTTCTTTATTTCAAGTACTTTTATATGAATATATTGTTGTAAGCTCAATAATCCCCCAAGTTGTTCACTAGTCTTGACCCGTAGGGTGCAAGCAGAGCGGCTGAAGATGCAGAACGTGAAAGGCGAGAACGAGAGGAAAGATTGAGACACACACGAAATCCAGCTGTGCGTGGATTACCCTCCACTGCTTCTGGCAGGCTGAGAGGAACGCAAGATGTAGCTGCTCCTACTCCTCTTACCCCAACTTCACATGCTGGTAAGTAGGCAAATTCCTGGATAAATGCATCTTGTAGACTACTCTAATTTGCTATTTGTTCCTGGTCATTGGAAATTCAAAAATAGAATTAGAATACCTGAGTGGTATTTGTCTCTGGTCAGGGTTTGAGTTTTTTGGTTTTTCTCCCCCTTGCTTTTCAGTAGATTGAAGGTAATTGTATACATGCATTACCTGCCAATTGCTACTTAGATTTCTGAACATAAAACAAAGGCCTTGATTTCTCTTGTTTGACTCTGTGAAAGTTTTATATGCAAAGAATGAGAGTGTCATTTTCCCCGTTACCATGTTGTAATCCCATTTCTCGTTATGAGAACAACCTGATGCAGTTTTTCTCACAGCCAACACGTCTCCTCGACCAGTATCTGGTGTGGAACGAGAAAGGAAAGTGAGTATGAGATTGCATCGTGGTGCCCCAGTCAATATCTCATCATCTGACTTAACAGGCCGACAAGATACCTCTCGCATGTCAACTTCGCAGGTAAAAAATATTTCTGTGTAAAGGAAAAATAAGGGTGATTTGATAAAGTTAATTTGCCAAAAGAACATACCAGCTAATTGATTTGACTTCATACTGATTTTGTAGATGATGTTGACTCGTATAAATACTTGACATTTTAACTGAATGTTTGTGATGTGACCGCAGACTACTGTAAAGAATTGTTGGGGTTTTTTTCACCTTGTCAGCAATAAGCATAAAATACTGAAAGTAATACAGAGTAATTGGTGTATGAGATGATGCGAAATCCTAGAGATACAGCATTTTTACCTACGCTTACAGTGTTTAACTCCTTTGCTCATTTAATTTTTTATATCTGTTACCAATGAGGAAGTAGAGTCAGTTTGAGGCAGTTGTGAGTCATGTTTCCAAATCAACAGAGCAAAGAATATTGGTGAAGAATACAGGAGAAATAATTGGTGAAGAACAGAAAAGTGCAAAAGTGAAGAAATGTTGTAGTGCAGTACTATAATTCATAGCAGATAAGAAGCCACATACATGGATGATGGATAGGTCACAGAGGGCTCATTTGAAGAGGATGGCATGAGAATGAATGATACAGTGATTCATAGCCATAATCAGCACTGAAATCATCCTCATTGGCCATGGTGACTTAGCAAAGAGATTTTAGGAAAGCTTCTTTTTAAGACTGACAAACAATGTTTAAATATATTTTTAACTCTTTATGCTATAGCATAGAAAAATTCTTTTTTCAGGATATTCGCACAGGCTTGTCCTAAGTTGTGTGTGGCCTGGCTTTGTACAGTTTACCTTCAGTCTTACATACAGAATGGAGAATCACCTGTGCTGTAGGCATGCTGCAGCGTTCTGAGGAGAACAGTCTGTTACGAGGACTGGTGCGGTCGCCTAAGGGTTTTGCCATCGTGCCTCAACACTGTGCTGGCATTGTGACTGCATAATTTTTACCATGGAGTCATTTTATTCCTCATAGACAGAGCGTGTTGATAAAAAATAACTCAATTCCTTTTGGCTTCATCATTTAATTGTCAGATTTGGTTATTTTGGATAGTACTTGTTCTTATATATAAAAATCTTACTGCTAGAAGTGCTCTTTTGGAAGGAGGGCAGGTGGGTATCTCTAATGAAGACTGAGGGTGAACTGGATTGGAGAAACAATTCTGCTGTAATACGAGTGAAGTAGGGTTTTTTTTGATTGGTTTTCAGCTGAATGAATTGTTTCACCATGTAGCTGCACAAGGGATGAACAGTTCAGGAGCAGAAGTTACTGTATGAGAATAGGAGACAGGTGAGGTCTTCTGTGTTGGCTTTGGTGGTAATTTTTGCCAGCTTAAATTGTTCACTGAACTACGTTTCTTGGTGACAGAAATTCTTACACTGAAATATTTTATCGCCACAGTTTGTAAACAGTATGAAGACAAAGAGGGTAGAACTGCACATAGTTATGGATCTTGTAAATATGCATAAATACCCGATAGAAGGATGTAAAGAACGCACATCCAGGCTTCTCAGCAATATCCAGTGAATGGCCAACAGACAGTGGGTACAAATTGAAATACAGGAAATTCCATTTAGACAGAAGAAAAAAATTTTCTGCTATGAGGGTGGGTAAGGACTGGAACAGGTTGCCCTAAGAGGTGGTGGAGTCTCCCTCTTCTGAATTACTTGATACCTAATTGGACATTATCCTGAGCAGCCTGCTCTAGTTCACAGAATCACAGAATGTCAGAGATTGGAAGGGACCTCGAAAGATCATCCAGTCCAATCCCCCTGCCAGAGCAGGACACCCAGATCAGATCACACAGGAACGCATCCAGGCGGGCTTTGAATGTCTCCAGAGAAGGAGACTCCACACCCTCTCTGGGCAGCCTGTTCCAGTGCTCTGTCTGTTCCAGTTGACTGTGCTTTGGGTAGTGGGATTGGAGTACGTGATCTCCAGGGGTCGCTTCGGACCTTGGCTGTGCTGTGAGGCTGTGACAGCGAGTTCCCCCTGAACGTTTACTCAAATGTAAAGCTCGTTTACTAGTAAAGTGTGTACGCATTCTGAGCAACTCTCAGATGCTTTGTCTCTGTTACCAGTCAGATAAATGATTAGTGGGAGTAACAGAAGTAAGTGCAGTCATGTTACTTGACTATGTTAGGAGACAGTGTATCTTTCGAGTTTTTGTTACATTACTGATGTTGCTCAAAGTGCGTGTGACACTTTTCTAAATGTTGTAAGGCACAAGTAATCCTGGTGGGTTTACAGATAAATTTTGGTTTTGCCTAATTTGTAAAATGGGAATACTCTGAGATTGTGTAGGACTGTGGGGTCTTTTGAGTATTCTTTGAATATCCAGATGTATAATTTGTTGTGGGCCAACAGCACAGTCTGGCTTCATGGCATGTTTCCATACCCACCCTTTTTAACACTCTGCTCCAAGTATGGCATCACTTGCTTGACTTGTTTATAATCCCAACAGTGGCCTAGTCAGGATCTTCTCTGAGTTTGTTAGAATTAGTCATTCATCATCTGTTAACTTCATTTAGTTCTTATCAAGGCAGTGAACCACTGCTGGTTTCCACTTGTGGTGGCTGAATAACACTGTCTGACTGTAGTATAAACAGCTTCCCCTGGGCCTCTTGGATTTGGAAGGCAAAAGAGATTTACTCAGCCTTTACCTTGTAACACTTCCTCTTGAGCTCATTTGAGAAAATTTGCTTTTCATTTTGCCAGTTCTCACTTGCTCCATACCAGGCAAGATGGCTCAAGTTGCAAGTTCTCATAGCTTACACTCTTACTATCTTCATGTTTAACATTGAAGTAGTTCTTTCATAATCAAAGTTTATCCTTAGATGTTAGACAGGTTACCAATTAAAGCCATGGGTTTCCCGTTATCTTACCTTGTCCTTAGTCAGGAAAACCTGAAGTATCAAACTTGCATGGCAAGGTCATTAAGGAGAATTTTGATTGGCTAGGTGTAAGAATATAGAAAATCACCCATGCCGCTTCTTATGAGGAGGACAGTAAGGAACAGCAACTGTTAGTTCATGCCCAAGTACGTTAGTTTCCTTTGTAAGTCTTAAGCAAATAGGCTACCACTGGTCCTTTATCAGGAAGTGCATCGACCATATTCCTGGTAGAAAGCACCTTTTCAAGTTTGCTATACAGAGCTACAGATGTCTTATGTTCAGAACTACATTTGGTAGAGATGTTATTTGTAACGTGATGAATTAGTTTTGTTATTTTGTTTTATTTGGATGCTTTGGTTTGGTATGGCAATGATGCATCTTTAATCTCCACCTCTCATCATCTAGAGGAAGGGCTAATGCTTGTTAAACTCTGGGCAGTGGAAATGTGCAGAGGTTACTCAAAGAAATAGTGACAGCTACTTACCTCTAAGGAGAGTTCTTAAAATATGACTCCACATTTTTATCTTTCTTTTTTCCAAAATGAGTTCTGATCAGTTCAGACTGGAGCGGAAAACTGAGGCTGGGAACGTAGATAATGCGAACCAAAATTCTGTAATGGAAAATAGGTCTCCTCAGGGAAATTTAACACAGAAAAATGGTAATTTATGAGAATAGCAAAATAGGCATCATGTGTATTCCCCGCTTAACAAAGTAATATCCACATAATACCTAAATCATTCTTACTGGAAAGACTAGCACTTTATAACACCAAGTAGTGAGTGTTTTTTGGAGTAACAACTAGCATGTCTATGAAACAGTTCATGAGACTTAAGTGTTTTTAATGAAATCATGTAAATTCTATGGCACACGTTATTCAGTACTTCTCTCGATTATATGGAAGTGAATGCAACAGCTAAAAACCTGCGAGTTGCGAGATGTTTGACAACAATAAACATTAGTGAGAGCTGAGCAGTCAGGTCAGGCCTATTCAAATAAAATCTGTATTACTGCAGTACTCCAAAACCTGATTACGATGAAGGAGCAGAGCCCATTGTCTTATATGGGGAAAATTATATCTGTAGTAAAAAGTGACTGAGGAGGCTTTAGGTGTAATGTTGGAGAGAGGTTAGTGTGATGTCATAATGAAAGGGTGTAATTTCATCCTTGAATCTATGTATGATACAGTAACGAACAGAAATGGAGAGGTTATTTCATGTCATTAATGAGATGGATGGTGGAATGTAATGCTTAGTTCAGTTCTGAGTATATTAAATTGATGGATAACTGTAAGTAACCCAGTGAAGAGCCATAAAAATTGAGCTTGGGAAAGCAGATTGTACAATGCAAGAGTTTCAAATCAGTGTCGTTCAGTTTGAAAGATAAGAGATGACCTTGAGTTAGTTCATATAGTATTTCAGAGACAATGATTTTAACAGGAACTAGCATTTATGCAGAAAACCTGTCAAGAATCTATTGCTTAAAATTAAAACCACTCACATGTAAAGACAAGTGAAACAGTGGTCTAAGTGAAAGCAGTTAGCCACTGAAACAACTTCTAATAGAAGCAGATTGTCTGTCCACTTTGCCTTTGCATCAAAATTTGATTCATTTATAGCTGGTGTATTTAGGTCTAAAGCAGGCCAAAATTACAGGTCCCTGTGCAATGAAAAGTTGTGATCTGTGCTGGACAGAAATCACACCAGCTGTTAAGAGATCCTTCTGCTCTTAAACTCTAAAAATTAATTGTAGTCAGTCTTTAAATGTTAAGAAATGTAGTAAAGGAGGTCATGAATATTCAGTGACCACTACTTTGAATCAGTTCTGTTGGTCCACATTGCACAGGCTGCATCCTGAAAGCAGTGATCATCTCAAGAGTCTAGTTAGAGGTGAGTAGCCTTCATTTCCTTTCACAGAAGGTTTGATCCTCTAAAAACCTACCTCAGTGGGACTGCTTATGGTATACAGTAAGTTGTTTAATTTTTTTTCCTGAATGTAGCGTGTTCAGCACCCAGCAGTCAAGGCTGTGCGTAATTCCTACTGATAATAGAGGTATGCTCTCCGTAGTAGGAAGAAGAGATTGGAATGCTGCACAAAGAAATATTTGATTAAGTCTCTTTGACAGGAGAAGTTTTTAGAAGACTGTAACCAACACTGGCATTAAACAACTTAAGTGTTGTGCCGCTTCCCTGGGGAAGAAGCAACATACATTCAGTGCCTCTGAATTTTCCATCTCCTCATGAGCAAATCTTTCTCCATATATCCATCTTAATAGGCGTCATACTCTGCGTTGTTCTTCTGGCCCTGTCAGCTTTCTTTGAGGAATAATGATTTGTTCCTTTTACTTGTCTCTTAACATGGTAGAAATGTCTTATGGAAGTTTGAAGTAAGAGTTCTTCAAAAGATACATTTGCTACTGCAAGTTTAGATTGGATATTTGTTAGACATCTTTATATATTGGGGCAGTGGAACTGTTACAAATTGCTGTCTTTTCCCCTACCTCAGAATAGCATTCCTTTCGAACACCATGGCAAGTAGCTCCACGTCTCCTTTCGTTGGAAGGCAGCACTGGGTGAGTGCTTCTCATTAGACACGAAAACTTTGGATGGGGTGGGGAAAAAAATCTTTGGAAACATCCAACTTTGCCACTTCTCCTCACGTTATCTCATAGTTGTACCTGTGCCTTCTGGTCAGATGCTTGATGGAGCATTGGTTTTTCTCTAACTTAAAAGTAAATGTCCTTCCAAAAGTTGAACTATTGCTGCTGTTCTGCTTGGACTCTTAAGCAGAATTGACAAAAATAGTGACTTTAAAAGTCCCTAAAATCGTTCAAGCATCATCAATAAAATAACCAAGTCTAAATTCTTGCTGTTTGAGAAGTACATGCCTTTCCAGGGATGTTCATGCAGCAGTGTGTCATCCATTCAAAACCAGATCTGCTTCAGAATCACAAAACCAAAATACTTGTATGAAGACTCAATTGACTATATTATTCAAATGAAGCTCTGTCTTGTCGTGAATGGAATGTTCTACAGTCATATCCATTTTTTACTGTTTATAGTCTTCTCCATTCTTAGCGAGCTGTCATTTTAAAAGTACCTCTATTCAGATCTATATTTTTAAAATGTCCATATACTAGTGAGAATAGTTTGAACATGAGCATCTTGGAGGTAGACGGACTTGGATCTGGGTATTTAGAACTCCTTTCCAGTGTTCAGTGAAGCAGAATGTTCTGCCTTTCTGCGTGCAGCTTTTGGCTTTTTAGTCTGTTCTGCTTTTGGCAATAATAGGTTTCATCAGGGAAGTAACAGGTTTCAGTTGGAATCTGAACCTTGATGGCTGAAGGATGCTTTCTTAAGTATGTCAGGAGCTTCTTTGCTTTGCTTCTTATTAAAAAAAAAAAAAAAAAAAAAGGCTGTGAGATTTTTCTGTTCCTTAGTAAATTCTGTTGTCTCACTTTTCTCTATAAGGCCTAAGCTTGCACTAATCCTATATCTCTAGCTGATGAAGAATCCTGCTATTCCTCTTCCGTTTTCTCCTCCTCCTGCTTTGTGTGCTTGGCTGACTGTGCACAAGTTGCTTTGTAAACAGATTGTAACATTAAAAAGATCCAACCATAAATGGCAGCTTAACACTTTAAAGTCCAATCATCGGACCTTAGTAAAAAAAAAAAAAGGCAAACCTAAAGCTTTGCATTGGAAAGCTTGTGTGCAGGAGGCATCGTGCAGATTCTGGTCTGCTCAGGGTTGTGTCTGCATTGGTTGGCCTTTACTGTATGCCTTTACTATTTGTAGCTGTTTACAGCTGAAATTAATACTGAATACTGATTCAGCTACTTAGACATTTCTTGCTTCTTAAATTGCAGTGATGTGTGGCTGTTTTTCTCACAGTGGAAGTGTTACTGAAATAATGTTACACCGTCACTGAAATAGGTCAAGCTGTGGAAATCAATGAAGTGTCTTTTAACACAGTGTCCCATGAAAAATGAAAAGCCATTGAAAATCATTAAAATTTTTTTACTCTTATTGAGATTTTTTTTTTTTTTTCCAAATCTTAATTATTCATTGAGTCTATTTCTACACATTGGTAGTATTCTCTTCTGGTTTGTTCTTTCTTCTGTGCATGTTTATGCTCTGTTTACTTTTCTTCAAAACATCCTCTCTAGCTGGAAAGGTGAATTTTCCATGTTAACTTCTAATAAAGGAGGAAAATACAGGGAACTTCGTGTAGCTACAGGTAGGTGCGAAACATTGTACAGCTTATTGGATTTTAAATTCACATACTTACTTTGGACAACAAATTATTTAAAAGTACATTGAGAACCACTTGTACGTTAACTGGAAGGATGTGCGCTGATGTTGTCTTGTTTTTTGGCTTTGGTAGATTCCTGCTCGGGTAACTACCGGTGTTCTCCAGTCTGCTGTGCACCGATGAAAATTATTTTGCCATGGAGGGCAGATAATGCATGGCTGATCTCCTATGTTACCAATGGCTTTACTAGCAAAAATACCCTAAACTAGAGCGGAACATTACAATTGGAGTTCTCCATGTGACTTAAAAGGCACTTGGAGGAACATGGACAGACTCCAGCAGCTGCCATTACAGGACGCTTTTGCCAGAAACCCAATGACCTTAAGAGAACCCTGTGTAACAGGGCTGGAAAAGAAAGATGGTTTACAGAGTTGACCGCCTGTTATCGAATGGCCATTTCAGTTTTCCCTCAACAGGTGGCAGACCTTACCCTCTTTTTATTATTCTACTGTAACTATAGATCTTTTACTTGGTTTAAGAAAGTTTTTTGTATCATTTTGCTAAAATTATTGGCTTAATTCTCTGTAAAGAACTCTTGCTTTTGTCTGATTTAAAAATACAGAATATAACAAACCTAAACTAAAGACAATGACTTGAAATTTCTTGTTTAAAAAAATTAGTCTGGCAGGGAACATGTAAATGAATCAAAACCATCTGACTTTATTTAAACTGTTTACTTGTTTATATGGTCTCATTCTGACTGAGGCGGTTTTCTCATGAAATTTTAAAAACTGTTAGAGTTTTACTTTTCTGTTTGCTGTCTTCATTCACACTTTACATTTAACTTTCCATGGAATTTTTAATACTCATTCTTTTTCATAAAAGAGGAGAACTGAATACCATGCAGGAGAGTCTAAGTATAGTAGAGATGGTGATAAATTAATTTCTTTTTTTGTAAAGAATATAAAGAACAAAGGGAAAGACAACACTTGCATTTTAGGGATTTAGAATTTGAAAGCTTGTCCTATCTCTCTGCTTAGTTTGGGTAAATGGATAGTTTCAAACATTGTCTTTATTGGTAAAATTTGCGTTTCTTGCACTCTGAGGCTGGTTAGCTTGGAGGGTATTTCAAGTAGAAAATACATGTTGCTACTGAGTCTTCAGCGAATTTGCACATTGCATTCAGCATCTACATGTTTAAAAATAAAAAAATAATTTGATTCAGGCCTTCTGTTTCATGCCAAGACTCAAAAAAGAAAGTCTTTAAAAAAAAAAAAAAAAAAAAAGCCAAACAAAACCAAACCAGCCTATTTTTCCTGTGAAATCCTGAGAATTTTTACAATTCGGGTGCATACCTTATTTAATTCTTAACTGTGTTCAACCTGAGTATGCGCAGAATCATTAGCTAGGAATGAATGACTCAACATGCTTAGGTTGTCCAAAAAAACTGTTGCAGGTGTTATTAGCACCTGTTGCTTATGGATTATGGGAGATTCTTCATATAGTTTGTTACTGTAAACGGTCTCGTAAAGTAGAAGTGGGTATTGTGTTCTCACAGTACTTGGAACAGTATCACAAGTACTGTTTATACTAGTATGACTGAAGTAATAGGAAGTTCCATGTTGGAAATCAAAGTATATACAGAGATTTTGTTTGAACAGTTAGGTATATGCTTGAAAACAATTTTTTTAAAGGACTATTGGTCTTCAAAGTTTTATGAAGAGTAATTTTTATTGTTTTGGTGTTTACACAGTCTGTTTTGCCCCTCTCAAAATTACACATATTAAGTATTAGTCACTCTTCTTTGGATGTTTTCAGAACATTAGCTAGTTGCTTGTGTGTACTCCGGGTCTGACTGGGGAAACTTGTGTTTGGGGAGAGTATAGTGAAAAACCTTAAAAGTTTGATCCATGGATAAGTTTGCATAAGAGAATTATTTCCTCAGTTACTATAAACTTCAGTATTTTAGGCATGTGCACTACCATTTGAACAGTTTTACACTTCACTGTGCTTTCCTTGTAAATATCTGTGGTTAATAATGTACTGTTAGAAGGACTGACAAAGGCAGCCTCTTTATTCTCTCTGTATCTGGAACATTAGATTGCTGTACTATACTTAAAAGTTGACTGCAGACTTCTAGAATTGTACTCACTTGTGGGCAATTTTTGTCCTTCGTAATAGTTAAATTCCATCATGCAGAAAATAGTTAGACTGTCTATATAAACCTGTGTATTGGAAACCAGTATCTCAGAGCAGTTCATTTGTACTACCACTGTATTTGTGTACTTTAACAATTGTGTAAATACATTCATAATAACTTCTATTCGTCTTTGGTGTAATTTACTTGCTTATGATGAATCCTTACTCTTTACTTGGTGTAACTTATTTCTTCTTGGTTTTGGCCTGGGGGTTTTTTGTTGGTTTTTTTGTTTTGTTTTGTTTTGATGAGTGGGGTTTCTGTGCCTACAAAGTGCATTGTCAGTTGCAAACATTTGAAGTCATTGTTGTGGTACTAAAACTTGCACTGAGGGATTTTAGTAGTCATGGCCAGCATGTAGCACTTAGGGTATACAGGAAGAAAGAAAAGGCATTCGTTGCTTCGCTCATAGAGAGCATGTCTTTCGTCTCTTAAACGGTAAATGTTTTTGTTTAGATATTGCTTCTTTTCCAGAAGTCTTTTTTACAAACACTTTCTCTTACAAGGAAATACATTGTATTGCTGGGAACTATGGGAAGAGAATTGCTATTGAGACTTGATTGGTTATGGGAGCTAGGATAAAAGCAAGAAAAATATTGAGCTCTACCCACAATGCCTTGTGTGATAAAAATCCTGCATATTGCTATGTAATTCTCGAAAGTCTATTCATAATCTGAGGGCAAATGCACCTTCAAGAATCCTCTATGTTTCTCATTAGCAGGCCTTTAAAAGTTGGAGGGATATTTAATTTAGCCTCACAGTTTTCATTTAGAACTGGCTATGTGCTTTTATGTGGAAAAATATCACCCATGCAGCTCTTTTACCTCATCTTGATGGTTACAAGGTCCCTGAATCCTTTGTGGTAACAAGTACCTTGAAAACAACTGAAAATAAAGAGGATCCCCCTCCTTTAAGAGGGATATTAAGTAAAAGCATTTAAGGAGTCCATATTATATTGCATGTTAACTTCATTAAAGTATTCAAAATCTCCCTTGGAGGAAGGCATGTAGAACTCGGAGGCATTCTCCAGTGGGGAAAAATATCATAAGCGTAACTATTTGTTGTCTTTGTTTCCCACATTCCAGACCTCTGAGTGGCAGCTCCTTCATAAAAGCTGTCAAAGGCAACACTTTCAGAAATTTAATTTCCTGTCGAGAATCTTTACAATGAATTTACAGATTTGTAAGTAGATAATTTCAAGATTCTTTATTTTCTCTTTGTAAGTGAATGAAATTAAATGGTATTTTAACTGTAGCTTTACAAAAGCAGCACTTCTTATGTACAAAATACTAAGTGAAAACAACGCTGCTGTTTTTTTAATAGTGCAGAGCTGTCTGGTCAGAAATCTAGATTTAATCCTGTTGTGAGGAAGTGTAATCCACCATGAACTTAATCCAACAGCAGAGTAGCTTCTAAAATTCACTGAATGAGACAGGTGAATAATAAAAAGGCTTTGCTGTTAAATAATGCAGTATTTAACTATTAAAAACAGCGCACTTCCCTCTGGTTCACCCAGGTGACAATTATTGGCATTACGTGTATATGCCTAGATTTAAGTGATTGTATTAATCTGAATTGTGTGGACTATTTGTGTCACTCCGTAGTTTTGAACCAGGAGAGTGCTCAGAGGCCTGATCTTCAGTAACAATCTGTTTCACAGCAAAAGCCTACTAACTTTATCTGCAAATATTTCCACGGTAGTAACACGTTATTTCTCAGACATTGGTGGTTTTTTCCTGCTTAATCTTATCAAGACTAGGATATTTCGGTTCTTTTGACAAAACCATTGCATGCTGCAGGCAGAGGGACAACTGAAAATTAGGTGAGATCCATATATACATGATCTACAAAAATATGAAATCAACAACAACAAAATTTAAGATAGCATTCTTTGTTAATCTCATTTTGGGAAAATTCTTGACTCAAAATGCGTAGATAAAATCTGGGTCTGATAAATAGAAGCATGATGGACAAATAGGAATGTGGAAAAAGGGGTCATTGTATATATCATCCTAAAGCATTAAGCCCTAGTCTACTGTATCTTCACTGTGACCAATCCAGGATATTTGAGGTAGGGTGGGATGTGGAAAACAGGAATTCATTTGGTACATTATGCAGCAGGAAGAAAATGTCTAGTCCTGGTCTCATAACCAGACAAAACATTTAGTTTAATTGCAGTCCTCAGCTTGGTTCAGAGCTGCAAGCATTACAGGCACAAAGGCAATGCAGAACTTGTGGTGGTTCCCATAATCCTTAAGGAGAGGATAAACCAGTGATTCACAATATTCTGAGGTCATGTGCAGATTTTTTTCCTTAAAAGACCCCAAACAGCAAATGTTTTTCTGCTCTCACTGCTAAGAAATTGTATTTGAAGTTTCTCTGACATTATCAACCACTGGATCTTATGCCACATTTTTCAGCAAGACTGAAAATTCTTTTGCTATTTAAGAATTTTAAGTACTAAAATCTAGATACGCTTCTTCATTGGATTCAGAGTCTTCCAGTGAAAGGCTTTAAACTGCTGAAACAGTAGTAGATGAAGAGTCAGAAGAGCAAGAGCTATCCTAATTTCTTACTGCTCCAAAGCATTCACCTAGGGATAGTGAGGAAAACTGCCAGCTGGAATGTTGCTGAGATGATGGAAGCAGGTATTGAGATCAGTCAAGGAAGAAACAGCGTATAACAAGAGGTAAGTAGCTTTTTACTCTGTGTGCCTCTGACTTTCCATACTTTCTCAGACAAATGCGGGACTGCTGATCTCGCAGACTGTGTCAGTAGCAAGATACTCTTAAGAGCCCTGACCTTTGCAGTAGATGTGCCTTTTTCCAGCTGGCACAAAGATGAGTTCTATTCCAGAAGCGTTCAGAAGGCTGCTAAAATAATATATTCCAGAGCCATTGCTTCACATATGTGATGCTTCTGCTACTGTCTAAGTTGTTTACTGTTCAAATATTGGTGGGTTGCCTTCCTTCAACAGGTCCAGCAGCAGAGAAAAACAGCTGTGCAACTCAGGTCATGCCCTTCTTCCTCCACAGCAAATGGCCTGACTCTTTTCTTTTGGACTCAAAGGGTACCAGAAGCAAAGATAAACTCTTTGGTTTTCTGTCACAAGGATGTGCTAACTCTATGCTAATAAATTCTGTCAGTTCAGTCCACCTGGTAACATTCGTTCCTGTAGCAGCGTATGGCTTGATCTGGCCAGCAGGGTAGCAAAGCATTTGATTACACCTGAAGGCCTACTAGTTTAAGTGAACTAGCATCAAAAAGGTAATGATGTGTTTGTTCAAACATGGGGTTTTATGTAAATGAGACCTACAGTCTTTTCAGTCTAAATATACAGAGAAAGTTTTGAAGCTGAGCTTAGAGAGATTTCTCCAAAATTTCTCACCAGAGAGAATTAGACAGAAATACATGTGAGCCTTCTAGGTAGCAAAATGTAACTCTTGTTACATTGAAGAGACTGTAATTTTGATTCACCTGGGTGTAGCCTTGAGATTATTATGCCTTGAGATTATTATACCTTGCGGAGCCAGTCTTAGCTGGGGTACCATAAGGTGCAGAAAAACGCACCATAAATGTACTCTTAAACTATGTTTTCTTTGGAGCTTTCAAGTTCTAAAGAGCATCACTTGATGGTAAAGACAGCTTGCTGGCAGGTCAGTATTAAAAATATTTAGGGCTTTATAAGTCATAGCAGTTCATAAAACTTTACCTGCAAACAAAACCTGGAGCACTTTTCAGAGGACAAGAACAATAATTTCTACATGGAGCACCACAAAATTAATAACTATTATTTTAAAGGAGTTGATGCTTTGTCTTCAGCATCATTTACAGCAGGAGCCCATTTCCATTTTGGAATTGGACAAACTATGAGTCACGGGAAAGGCAGTCCCCTTGCCCACATTAAATTCTGGCTGCCTTTCAGCTCAGTGTCACTTCTTATTTTCTTCTCAATAAGCACTCTGCTTCTGTATAGCTATTTGAGCTTGTACGAATGAAACACAGTTTCCAAATCTGGTGGTTATTTTTTCTAAAGCTTATTTCCTCACGCCCACAGTTTTTGACAACCAAATAAATATTTATTCACTACATTTGCAACAGTTTACTAGAAAAGCATAAAAAAAATTTCTAAGTATAAATGTACACGTTACATTAAAGCGCATTAACAAGAAACAAAAAGTCATCTCACTTGCACAAAACTGAAGTGTACTCCCATAATCCTAAATACAACCGTGGCAGAGAGACACACATACACGGGTCAGTACTTACCACTGTAACACATAGGAGTTTACATTCTCCTGAAAGCCATCTGTTTATGATTGCCTACCATACTGAATCTTTTCTTTGGAACATAACAAAGGTGCATGTGTGAGTGTATTTTAGATTTTCATTTTGAACTTTGATTGCTGGGGTAGGGGTATGCTTTCATTTCTTCTTACAGAATGATTTTACATTGTCTAACACATGTATTTGTTCTGATGGGATAAGATCTGTCCAGTCCTTCACACCGTACGTTCAAACCATCTCAAGTCTCAGCTTCAGGGAACTAGCTGCTTTAGCAGCAGGTACTGCTGAAGTCTTGCTGTAATGTATTTTAAAGACTGGAGAAAAAGAAAATCTAGAGATTGTGATTTTAAACAGATAGCTGCATCAGTTTAAGATTTTTAGTTCCACTGAAATCTTCTAGGCGCCAAATAGCTACAAGATCTTTTATTAGAGAAGTTTTTAAAAAGCAAACTTATCTTTGTACAGGAGGAAGAAGAAAATAGTTTTAACTCTGCATTGCTCATTGTCTAGTAAACTGGTAAACTGTTCTACTCTACTGGGTATTTTGCATGTTTGATATATAGAGATTGATACATATATAAATATATATATGCAAACACGTATACACCTCTTTATATATTATTTGTGTGTTATGGGCATTTATGCATACTCCCTCTCCTTGCATTAGGAAATTAAGGGCCTAAGATCCATTACGTGACATATGATATTTTAACCATAAATCCTACAGTACACAGCTTTAAAAATTATGCTAGCCTGTACACTAAAAAGACCATTCATTAGTTTCAGAGAAATAATCTATGAAAACTTTCTTTCAACTGTTTTATAGTATTCCACTTCAATTTTGTGCACTTTTTTCTATTGTTTCCCTCACAGACTTCTTAAACAGATTGATGAACTATGTGTCTAAAGAAATCACACTTGTTCCAGTAGTGTATGATGCAGGAGCAAATACATTGTTGTCTTTGGGATGCTTGGCAATGCAGTTGTATAATTAATTACCTGCCTTCCCTTCTCTTTCCCCTTTTCTTCCCACTTCTCAAATCACACAATTTTAAGCAGGTGAAGGTTGAACAAAGGTTCGTCCAGGTCGATGTTGCATGGAACTGTCCTGCTTGCAGTCACTGTCTCTTGAGCAATGCTTTATGACTCTAACCATGTGCGTCCTCAAAATGTATGAAAGCACATCTCACAAACTGCTCTTAAGGGGATCTCAGTGTTGAGAATAAAGAAGTACTGTATCAGACTACCTCGAGGGGTTTAAAAGCAATTCCTTGTGAATTTACAATAACCATAGTTAAATTAATAAGGAGCCAAGCTAGGCTTGCCAAGAGAAAGGGTTCCAAAACATTTCTCTCCTATATGTAACAGTTCCTAGCTGGCCTTCTAAGGCAGCACTGGGATCCTAAGGACTTGCTGCTTGCTTTTTTTTTAAACGTCTTGGGGTAGGAAGGAGGGAGGTCTATAAAACAGGAGCTCAAGGTAACGGCTTTGTGGCCACGTCCATAGGAGCAGGTGGGTACGTGCCTCAGCACAGCCTAGCACACTGGCCCTACAGTTGTCCGGTCTAGGGACTGGGCATGCATGGAGGCTTCCTTCCTAACAGTGCAGTCAATCTCTTTCCAAGGAAATAAAGGCAGCTGAATGGAAAGAGGACTGGAGGGCTAGCACACACCGGCATGTCACCCCTGAATAGGACAGAATGGATACAGGGAGCTTAACTGGCTCCAGAAATCAGAAGTGCTTTCAAATCTGACAGTTTTGATGTTGCCAAGAGATCTGCATTATTAGTTTCTCATCTCTGTGTTGATGCTGCTTGTAAGTAATAAAAATGGTAAAAGATTTTATAGCCTGTGTGGAACTGCTTAGAAAATTAAATTCTAACTCTTAGTTCTCACAGTCTATAACAGTCTTGTGATTTGACCTCTCTCATGAAGTAAGCATCTCCTACTCTCATGAATACTGCAATCCATTGGTAGGGCTGTGCTGAAAATAGCAGAACAGTACCAGCAGGCCTACTCAGAGTAGTTCATCTTTGGGTCGAGAAAAACAACTTGTATAGGCCAACAAGGCACTTTCTGTGAACACTAGATTTACTTCATAAAATTTTTATGGTGTCTTGCTGAAATGCATTTCCCTTGTCTTAATAACTTCCTCTTCTGCCCCAATCACATAAAATTGTAGCATAACACTTCTTGTTTCCAGCTTAACCATAAAGGTATTATGTATGGAAAATGAAACATAGTCTGGAAAGTCAGTATGATATGCCCAAATTTTTGAGATATTACAGTCTGTAGGCAATTTTCAGAATGTATGGAAACATCGAATTGTGACAAAATCTGAGGTCAAAGGAATAACCATTTAGTTCTGTGATAACAGTATGGCATTATCTGGCAAAGAAATCCGGTGAACAGAACCCACAGTAAGAAAAAATGGCTGTTCTGAGAATCTGAACTCAACTTTGGGAAGGTTTCTAGTTTTTGCTTTTTGAAACAGAACCGGGAACTCCAGTCTGAAAGCTATTTTAGGCCTTCACGTATCATCTGAAGCGGCCTCCAGGGATGTCGCAAACTGATCTGTGGATTCCATTTTCCTCTTGCCCTTTCACAGGGTGGCCTTCTGGAGCTAGCAGTGTTGTGTTCCAGGTACTGATTTAGTCACTAGCAAACTGGAGCTAAATTCATTGACTAAGATCTTATAACTGGGACATGCCAGCACAATTCCTGCCACTAAATTAATAAAAGGTTTCAAAGTAATGCACTATATGCAACATAAACAGTTCACTCAGTGCAGCATCCATTTCGTTTTGAAATCACTCAAAAAAAAGTCATGATCCTAACTTTTCAATTTCTGTGCAAGGTTGTCCTAACAATGCAAAACCATTTTGAAGAAACTACCAGAACAGAAGCTGGTATCTGAGATAGTTCTGTTAGGGAATGGTTCATGGTTTTGGCACTTTGTTGGATTTACTTTGTGTTTCTGTTAACATGGTCAAGTATGAAACAACTAATTATGTTATTTTTAAAAGGGATACAGGGTTGTAAGGGATTAGGGTCTTTTAGTTTTCAGTTATTAAGTGGAACAATTTTAGCACCTGAAAGCCCATATTCCTTTACTACCAACAAGAAAACTGAACCTGTTACAGTTAGTCTGCTTTGGAGGTTGTTACTGCAACAAGCCTAGAGAGCTTTTTATAAACCTATCTGAAAGGTGGGATGCAGTAACATGCTTTTGTATAAAAGATTACATTTCTTGAATGTGTTTGGGTGGAGCGGGGGTGAAAGACTATATCGAATGCCTTCCTTTTACCTTCCTTTTCTCTTCAGTGTCTTCACAATGGATCTTTTCCCTTTCCTCATTTCTTCGAATGTGCCATCACTGCCTTGTCTGATCTCTGTTTCTTTTCCTTCCCCCATAGCAATGTCAGAGAAGATTTAAAGAGTGGCCAGAGAATCCCCCTTCTGTTTGTGCAATGAGTAGCAGAGTCGACCCGATTCTTGATTGGTCCTTATGCACTGCTGTCATAAATATGATCATAAATATGATCAACAGTTCTGTCATATTTCCTCAACCAGCAAGAATGGTACCTGAACTTCCATAGATAAAGCAAAAAGATAGGGAAGTGGGGTAAATTTAAAAAAAAAAAAAAAAAAAAAAAGCATGTTAAGACCTTCCTATGTTGCTAACATTGCACTTTAAAGATGGCCATCATGTTTGAAAATAGTCCAGCCCCTTCCTTAAGTCTAGCCACTCCAATTTATAGGTCAACTGGAAACTTAGTTTCTTTTATACACAAACC